AATCTTCATATATTTAATAAGTGCTAAAGTTTTACAAAGGATGATTTATCAAATAAGCTCAATTGCGATCTTGATTTCTTAACCTGCTAAGTCGTCTTCATGCCTATTGGCTTTAGAATCCAACGCATGCTCACTTATGCCTTATTACTTCAGGCTTTCAAATGAGGCTACTTGGTACCAACCCTAGGATAAAATAAATTATATATTTATAAGCAAATTTAGATTATAAAATTTTTAAAAATTAAAGGGCCAGTCCTGTTAGCCTATTGAAAAGAACATGTTCGATTATGAGAAAGTGAGCTTACCCTGAAGTTTGTCTTTTTGTGGGTCTGAATTACTGGTAGTGTTGAGAGTGGCTGTGCTAATTGGAAGAGAGTTACCCAGTGTTTTTGATAATCGACTTCCTTCATAGGTATAATAGCTAGGCCGTTGTGAACTCGATTCCCTGTCCAATACAAGCCCTGACCAAGCCTCCATGGCAACCCGAATGCGTTTAGACATATTGTAACCGCCAGGGAATTTGGATTCGATGATTTCCAAATCAGCTCTGGAGAATCCGAGTTTAAGGAATAGACGAGCGAATTGATCACTTGGCAATAATTCAATGATTACATTGCACATTTGTTGCAAAAGATTTCCTGAGTAAAAATGGGCATTGTTAGTTAACTTATTTTGTCAAATAAAAACAAAACGCCTTAATAGTATAGCGAACGGGCATTTCTCTTCACTGATTAGGATAAATAACAGCATGAGATAGACATGCTAGTGCCTATGTATACAAAATCAAATATATTTCCACTATTATCTTAAAAGGGAAAAGTTCCTCTAAAATGTAACTGTTTAAGCCAGTTTAAGAGGAACATTAATTTAAGACCTGCCGACGACATTAAAAAAAGGTGCTATAGCTATTGGGTATAAGCATTAGATTATAGGAAGAGATCTTAAAGCAAGATAGAGTAATGAAGATTACATGAAGCTTCTATATGAAGATGATGTAAGTCTGACTTCCAGTGTTTAGTAAAATCTCAACTTTTAATAAATAACAACAAGGGGTATGACCAATTAGATACTAGAACAGGAAACCTTATATCGCTTTGAGCCT